TTCTTTCATCAATGTCTTAGAATTTTCAGCGTATAGGTCTTCCACATCCTTTTTTAAATTTATTTTTAGATACTTAATTCTTTTTGATGCTATTGTAAATGGGATTGTTTTCTTAATTTCTCTTTCTGACAGTTTGTTTTTAGTGTACAGAAAGGCAACAGATTTTGTATATTTCTTTTCCTTTTTTTTTTAAAGTTTATTTTGAGAGAAATAGAGAGGAAGGTGGGGGAGGGGCAGAGGGAGAATTCCAAGCAGGCTCCACACTGTCAGCACAAAGCCCGATGTGGAGCTCGAACCCACAAACCATGAGATCATGATCTGAGCTGAAATCAAGAGTCAGATGCTTAACCAGCTGGGCCACCCAGTCACCCCCTGTATATTTATTTTACATCCTCAACTTTACTGAATTCATTTATTAGTTTTAATAGTTTTTTGGTGATGTCTTCAGGGTTTTTTATATATAAGATCATATCGTCTGCAAATAGTGACAGTTTTGCTTCTTTTCTAATTTGAAATAAAATGCCATTTACTTCTTTGTCTTGCCCAATTGTTCTGGCTAGGGTTTTCATTACTACATCGAATAAAAGTGAGGATAATGGGTATCCTTGTCTTGTTTTTGATCTTAGAGGAAAAGCTTTTTGCTTTTTACTCTGAATATAATGTTAGCTGTCATATATGGTCTTTATTTTACTGAGGCATGTTTCCTTTTACCAAATTTATTGAGAGTTTTTTTTTTAATTTTTTACATTTATTTATTTTTGAGAGACAGAGAGAGACAGAGTGGAAGCTGGGAAGAGGCAGAGAGGGAGAGAGAGAGACAGAATCAAAAGCAGGCTCTAGGCTCCGAGCTGTCAGCAAAGAGCCTGACACGGGGCTGGACACAGGGTTCAAACCCACGGACAGTGAGATCATGACCTGAGCCGAAGTTGGATGCCCAGATGACTGAGCCACCCAGGCTCACCCTGAAAGTTTTTCTTATCAGATTTAGACGTTGAATTTTGTCATATGCTTTTTCTGTACTGAGATGATCATAGGATTTTTACCCTTCATTTGGTTATGTGGTGTGTCACGTTGATTTGTGGATGTTGAACCATAAAAATCAGTGCACCAGACACACGCACGAGCACCTTTCTGGGTAATACTGGTGCTGTGGAGCACGGCAGAAGGAGAATATGAAGTAAACGTCCCCTCTCTGAGGTCTCTGGAGAGATTTAGTGTGCCCTTACCTGTATTAGAATCCTGCCCTTCAGTCCACAGCTATGAAAATAAGCTAATAGGCTTGTTTCATAGAAAGACTGAGAGTCTTGTTCTGTTGTCTCTTGTTGTGCCCTGAGGATGGTAGCCAGTAAAGAGCTTATTTCTACACTGGTTACAGTTCAGTGGACCCATGAGCATAAACCCCTAGAGTTGTCCCCCTGGGCCAGAACTGCAAGAATGGGTGTGCTAGAGGAGGATATAAGCTCCTTTCTGGGAGATGACCTGTGAGCTGAAGTGAGGCAGAGGGAGAGTGCAGAGATGGTGTCAGCCATCTTCCATCTCTGGAGATGCAAGGCCTCTAGGTGTGTGTTAAATTAGAGGCTTGTGCCTCAGGCCTCACTTTTAGATAAGAAAATACGCCTCTTTTAAAATTGTGTTTTCAATTTGTTTAGAGAGAGAGAGGAAGAGGGAGAGAGAGCACAAGTGAGCATGAGCAGGGGAGAGGGGCAGAGGGAAAGAAAGAATCCTAAGCAGGTTCCAAGCTCAGCACCAAGCCTGATGTGGGGCTCGATCCCACAACGTTGGGATCATGACCTGAGCCAAAATCAAAAGTTGGACACTCAGTGAACCGAACCACCCAGATGCCCCGAAAATATGCTTCTTTCACCTGAAGTCTGTGCACCTCTCAATTGGCTGCCTCTTGTGCTTTTCCCTGGGGTGAGTCCAAGTGTGAGAGGCCCCCCACCCCCTTTTTAAAGTTAATTTATTTTGAGAGAGAGAGAAAGAGAGTGCACAATGGGGAGGGCAGAGAGACAGAGGAGAGGGAGAGAATCCCAAGCAGGTTCTGCATTGTCAGTGTGGAGCCTGACACTGGGCTCAGTTTCAGGAACCATGAGATCATAATGCCAGCTGAGATCTTAACTGACTGAGCCACCCAGGAGCCCCAAGTGTGAGAGCCTTTTAAGAGCTGTTTTTCAGTTCACTCTAGTCCTGTGGGTCTCATGAATGTGAGTCCTGTTGATTTTTAAAACTACATATTTTGGGGATTCCTATCTCAAGTCTTAAAAGTCGGAGTATCCAATGTGGGGCTAAACTCTTTGCTCCTCAGGTTGTGTATTCCCTCCCGATGGTGGTTTGCTGTACTAGGGGTAGGATTTATGGCAAAATTGTCTCAGCCTCTCCTATCTGCTTCAAATATGAGTTTTTAAAATTTGTGTTTTATGTAGGAGTCACTCAGCTAGTTTTTATTCAGAGGAAATGGTTCCATATGTGGCTGTAGATTAAGTGTATCTGTGGGAAGAGGGGAGTCCAGGATCTTCTTACACTGTCCTCTTAAACTGGAACTCTCTTTTGTTATTACTATAATATAAGCCACCAGCAATCTTTGAAGAAATTTAATAACACAGTACAAAAAATAGAAAGAATATTTTTAAAGGCCCTTTATATTTTCTGACCTATTTATTCTTTATTTACTTATTTTCTGCAGAACTTGGATTCTAAGATATCTGTATATAGCTGTGTCTGTGTGTATTTCTATCTATCATGCAGAAACTTTCCACACCTTTAAAGAGCTCTTCAGACTTATTCTTCGAAGTGGCGTAGCATCACTTCTGCTATTTTTTGTGTTTGAAGCAGTCACAAGCCAATCCAGATTCAAGTGGGGGTGGAATAGACCTCCATCTCTTTGTGAGATGAAAGAATTTCTGGGCAGTGTTTTTAAACTGCCTCATTACTGAAGTATCTATCTAATAAATTTCTTACAGTGCAGGACTCTTGGAGACTAGCATTTACTTCTTCATATTAACTTGTATCTGGGTTAACTAATCTATATCTTGCCTTCTATTTTGTCACAATAAATGTTTTCTTTTAAATCTTAAGCCTTCCGGTGACTCTTAAATCTTGATTTCCTGTTTCAGTTCAATCAGTAAGAATCAAGTTGCTCTTCTAGATTTTTCCTTTTCTTTTCATAGTATCTTATCCTTTTAAAAAATACGTTACATTCTATTATTGCTGTATAATAAATAATCTAAGTATTTAGTGGTTATACCATCACTTTTGATTTCTCTCATGGTTTTGTGTTAGGAATTTGGGAAGGGTGTTGTTACTGGGGTCTCTGATACAGTTTTGGTCAGATGTCACTTGGGGCTCCAGTCATCTGCAGGTTACACTTGGCTGGACATCTATAGTAACTCACTCACATGGCTGGTAGTTGATGCTGGCTATCTGCTGGGACCTCAGCTGAAGCTGTCAACTGGAGCACTTATATGCCACTCCGTCCATCATAGTGGTCTCAAGACAGACTTTTCACGTGGCAGCTGGTTTTCTCCAGGGTAAGCGTCTCAAGAGAATCACACAGAAACTTTTCACACCTTTAAAACCTCTTCAAACCTATTCTTGGAAATCATGTAGCATCAGTTGTTTTTTGTTTGAAGCAGTCACAAGCTTACCCAGACTCAAGTGGAGGGGACAGACCCTCATCTCTTCATGAGATTAGTGTTAAAGGACTTGTGTGCAGTGTTTTTAAAATATCTCATTGTTACTGAAGTATACTTTACATGTAAGAAAATGCATAGATTCTAAGTATTGAGTTCAGTGCACTTTGACAATTGTATAGACCCAGGCATCCACCACCTGAAACCTGAAATAAGAGCATGTTTTCATTCTATAAGGTTGCCTCGTGCAAGTCAGTCCTTACCCAGTCCCCTCCTACTATAGTTAGCCACAATCTTACTTCTATTACCATAGAGTAGTTTTTCCTGGTGTGTGTATTTGGGTTCTTTCACTCAATATAAAGCTTTGAGATTCTTCTATATCAGCTGTGTTATTCTTCTATATCAGCTGTGTATCAGCTGTGTTATTTTTTATTGCTGAATCATATTTTGTTATATGAACATACCCCAATATGTTATACCTTTACTTATTGTTGGGTTTTATCCAGTTTATTACGATTATGAATTGGGATATATGAACATTCTTCTATACTTTTTCAAATAGTATCAGGGTATTTTGGGAGCAATATTGCATCACTGTTGGGGTGCCTGTCTAGCTCAGTCGGTTAAGTGCCTGACTTTGGCTCAGGTCACGATCTCACGGTTTGTGGGTTCGAGCCCTGCGTCGGGCTCTGTGCTGACAACTAGCTCAGAGCACGGAGCCTGCTTCAGATTCTGTCTCTCTCTCTGTCCCTCCCCTGCTCATGCTCTTTCTCTGTCTCAAAAATAAATAAACATTAAAAAAAATTGCATCACTGTTCAAACCCAAAGTATTTCTAAAACATTTCTGTGTCCAGAGACCTTTGATATAATTTACCTCTTTAGTTCATAAAGATTTGCTGTCAAGCTTTTTGGGATGAATTCTTCCCAGTGGTTTTGAATCCAACACAAGATTTATTTGAATATGTAAAGAAAAGATCTTGGCATTCATAAGGGGCTGATTTTTATTTATTTATTTTTATAGTTTATTTCTGAGACAGAGAGACAGAGCATGAGTGGGGGAGGGGTAGAGAGAGGGAGACACAGAATGTGAAACAGGCTCCAGGCTCTGAGCTGTCAGCACAGAGCCCAATGTGGGGCTTGAACCCACGAACCATGAGATCATGACCTGAGCCGAAGTTGGACACTTAACCGACTGAACCACCCAAGTGCCCCAGGGGCTGATTTTTTAAAAAAGACGAACGAGGTCAACTACAAATTTAAAATCTGTATCTGTTATACATAGAACAATCTCCAAGTTATGCGTGAGATTAATGGAGTTACTTTGGGAAATCAGATCCAAATAAACTGACAGAAATTATGAAACATATGTGATAATGATAATAAACAAGACATTTATTTTTCATACTCATTTGGGGGAAGGGAGAAAAGTCAGTATGCCCTACCCAACAATGGTCCTTCTGAAAGAATCTCCATTCATTCCACAGAATTGGACAGGTTGCTTCATCTGAGGATTTTGTACTTTTAATTCATAAAGAGAACTTGGTTTGTAGAGAGTGGTCAAAGGGTGAGTCTTTGTGAGCAGCTTCGCTGGTGCACAGCCAGACTCCCCCTCTGAGTGAAGCTTTTCCCACACTGGCCACACAGATAGGGTGTCTCTCCTGTGTGGATTTTGCCATGCAGGATACAATTCCCCCTGGTGTGGAAACTCTTCCTGCACTGTGTGCAGGCATAGGGTTTCAGGCCTGTGTGGACTCTGATGTGAACAATTAAGCTTCCTTTCTGACTGAAGGCTTTTCCACACTGATCACATCTGTAGGGCTTTTCACCACTGTGAACTCTTCTATGAACAGCAAGGTTACTTTGATTCCTGAAGCTTCTCTGACAAATAGCACACTCATAGGGTTTCTGTCCAGTATGGAGTCTTTCATGAACGGCCAGACTACCTCGTTGACTAAAGCTTTTCCCACACTCCTTGCACTGATAGGGCTTCTCTCCTGTGTGTATTCGCTGATGTGTAACAAGATTGCCTTTGGCCCTGAAGCTTTTTCCACAATGGGTACACTCAAAGGGCTTTTGACCGGTGTGGATTCTCTCATGCAAGGTTAGACTACCTTTTTGCCTGAAGGATTTTCCACATTCCTGACACTCATAGACCCTCTGTCTCACTCCAGGTGAATCTTCCTGTAGTGTCTTAGAATCTGGGGATTTTTGTTCCAGCTTCTCCCTTCTGAAAGAATTCTGGAAATCCCAGCTTGAGGATCCTGTGGCCTCAGAGTGGTCATATTTGTGGTGGGCTTCTGTCATCACATCTGGTAAAATGAGAGGGAAGTCATGTAAGATGCACCAATATGCTGAGTGGGAAGAATAGGGAAAAAAGAAACAATGCTTTGAGTGCTTATTAAGTGCCAGCCATTATACTATGAACTTTGCATAGATAATTTAATCCTGGAAACAATCCTATGAGATTGCTACAGATAAGGAAATGAGAGCATAGGGAGGTTGTCAAAGATCTTGCAGCTAAGTGTAAAGTCGGGATTCAAATGTAGGCATGCTCGATAGTATTATATTGTCTCTAAATTTAGTTTAATGTAGCCTTAGGCTCAGAAAAATTAAGAAAACTACATAGCAGCAAATAGAGCCCTATACTCAAGTTTTATCTGACTCCTAAAAAAGGTATGGATCCAGGTTGTGTATGGCCTAAAGCTTTAAAATTTCAGAGGCACTCCAGTAAGAAAAAGTAGAAAAGTAGGTACAGGGCCCTAAAGAGATCAATAAATAAGAAATCCTTCTCTGTACCAATCTGCTTTCTTGACAGTGGAGTAAGCTCCATGAGGACAGAAAATATGCATCATATCCTTTGGTATGTTACATCTATTATCTCTAATCCCTGGAACCCTGCAAGGCAGAGTTTATTGTCCCATTTGACAGATGAAGAGCTTGGAGCTTAAGGAAATTAAATAATTTATCTGATACCATAATTTAAGCTAGGACAATTATAGATTCTGATCCAAGGCACTACCCCTTTAAAATCCATGCTATTTCAGACTACTAAGCTGCAGTGGAACTGAGATCAATTTTGGTTTGGAAGTTATTCTCAAACACTTCCTATGAAGATGCCGACTGACAGTGTTTTCCATATTGCCCTGCCTCTGAGAGACTCCTACTGAACTTTAAGTATAGGTCCATTCATCACCATTAACAGTTTTCTTGGAGTCATCCTAGGAAGATTTTCTCCCTGTTATCTTGCCTTACCCTTATTCACCGATTGTGCTGAGATGTAAAGCTGCTCATTCATTTTCTCAGAGACTACCTCAAAACTGCCTCTATGTCAAGACCATTCTCTTGCTCTATTTCTACTGCTATTTCTAATTCTAGCTTGCAAGCTTTCCCTGTAATCCCCAGGAACAGTGAACTCCTCCAAAGAAATGTCTCCTCTGCTTCCTCAACCTGCTGACCAGTGCCTGAGGACAGGGACACTGAATATTGTGAGCTGAGGGCATCTCAGCGATCAACCGACTCACTCACTGAAAAATGCTACATTCTGAGCATATCTTCCATGACAGTCCAGCAGGGTAGCTGTTGGAAATCCAAACATGTCCACGCCTGCTGTATGGCCTTAATCACCACCTCTTCATATGATTCTTCCATGGGCTGTTCTTGAACACCTGAGAAGGAAAAAACAAACAAACAAAAAACAGAACAACAAAAAACAGGAAAGGGCAGGAGAATTGATAAGTGAGAAGGATAAAGTCAACAGGAGCTCCAGTTTGGGGTGAGTAAATGGAGGAAATCTGGACTGCCTGATATAATCTTAGTCACCTATAACATAACTGCAAAACTGGCCAAAAGGTACCATGATTACACATAAATGAGTCAAACTGGAAACACGAGGTGGGAAAGCAGAGAATACATAAAGTAAACCCATACCTCAGTCATCTGCCAATCCCAAGATAATGGTCACTCCTATTTGGACTTTAGCCTTGGCATGTAATTGGGATCTTCCACTTCCTTCCCCCACCTAACCACCTGCTCTTTTACCCTTCAAGCCTCCAAAGGAATTCAGAATCTAAAAAAACCCAACATTTCAGCCTTCATGATTGGTTCTAGGATGCAAATGGCTCTAGCTCTCCCCTCCTGTTCCCCCTAGGTTATAAGGACAGAACAAAGGATCTCATATTTACCCTTTAGCAATATTTAGAGGTTCCAGATCCAGACTGACCTCTCCTATTCTTCAAGATATGAGAATACCAATTCTACATGCAAATACTTGTCAATTCTTGGATAAGTCTACTTCAGACTCCCAAAACCAAGCCAAGGCACTCCAACTAGGATAAGTAACCTGCTCAAATTCTCAGAGCCAATAAGGAGTCAAGGGTGGGCAAAGGATCAAATTAGAGACTTTTGAGATCCAGTGTCTATGCTTACACTAGACAATTCTCTAATCACTAAAGAGCTGGTGAGAATTTTTTATAAAATGGAACAACAAAAAAAAGGAACAGAACGTAACAGCGCTTGACCAGATTTTACTCATCTTCAAGATCCTAGGAATCCTCTTGCTCTATATTGTCTTTTTCTACCCCCCCCCCTTTTTTTGAGTATTTTCTTCTTACTTTAGTATCCTAATTACCGAATTCTTACACTTTATGCAGTGATTCAATGTATAATCTTTACTTCTGTCTAATATGTCTCATCAAAATGCTGGCCTACTGATTTAATGAAATAGCAGTGTGATGCTACAGTGCTTTGTTTTGTTAACCTCAGCACTTGGTCTTGACAACTGTACATTCTGCTACATGTTATTTTGACTGGAGAGGCATTTAAAACTTGTATTTGGAGGCCTCACTTCCAATTTGAAGTAGAAGCTACAAAGGAATCCTCTCTGAGAGGGCCAGGATGCTACAGGATGTTAATTTGTTAGTTCAAGGTGTACTGCTCAGCAACTGGACATCCATCAAGAGTCAGTGGAATAGGCATGAAAACTGCTACCTAAGGTTGGACTCTGTCCCTGGGGAATCCAGCAAATAGTCTGGTCAGAACAAGAGGGTAGAATTTATAGCTCTACCTCTGCAAATGCTGAGATCTTCTAACAAGTTAACAACTCAGCTATGTCTCAGGAACCTTCTTGATGAAAAAAGGGAGATTGTCTTATTTTTCTCCCGAGGCCACAAATCTGAGGAAATTATTTCCAGAAGATTTTAAAGAAGTAGCTTTATTAATAGAACATTGCTTTTCCTATCAGAAAGGCAATTTATCCTTTTGAAAAATTCAGAATTAGGCCATGAGAAATTTGGATTCTTGCCTTGGCTTCTCCATTACCACCATACAACCTTGGGCAGGCGTAACCAAACAGCCCTGATTATTTTCTCACAAACTAAATCAGTCAGTAACACTGTCATATCACGTGTCATATCACTGTCATATCATAGCTCTTGGGAGAATGAAAGAACCAAATGTGAACAATCTCTGCTATAACCTACAGACTGAAGGCCTAATGTTTGAGAGTCCTCAGGAGAGGCCTAACAGAAGGGGTAAACTTTGCCGTCTTGGTAACCTCTTGGGTGATAGTTTCAGGGTTAGAAAATGAGAGTACGGTGATTATTTTTCTCCACACATCTGAATCCATTTTGTCCTTTCTCCCATTCTCCACCCTGACAAGTCTGATCTCTCTCCCATTCTCCCTCCCTAAAGATTGCGTCCCCCGACACCCCCCTCCAATCGTGTTGTGAAACCCTAACAGCAGGCCCCTGGTCACACCTGCCTGTGGCCTCCCCCTCCCGCCTCTCCAGGGTGCGGGGCCTTCACTCATGCTCTGCCCTGCAGAGCGGCGGTCGGAGAGGCTCCCCGGGGCACCCTCTCCCCTCTCGCCTCAGCTACCCCCCGGGCCCGCCCGGCGTGCTGGACCTCAGCACCCCACTCTCCGATCCAGCTGGACCCTTCTCTGTGGGCCGCACGCCTCTCCCCTCGCGGGTGGCCTCCCTCGGGGCTCAGGCAGGCCAGGCCTGCTCAGGGCCATGGGGACCGAGGAGGGTCTGGGGGCGACGGCCCGCCCACGCGGCCCCGCCTTGCCAGGGCTCACTGACCCGGCCGGCGGCCTCACTCACCGCAGCGGCGCGCGCCCGTAGACAGACAAAGGCCGGCGCCGAGCCCACAGCAGCGCCGGCGCGAGCGACCGAACTACAACTCCCAGGAGGCTCCCCGCGAGCCTGCCCACCGGGTCCCGGGCCTTCGTCGTCCCGGTTTCTCGGAGCACTGTGGGAAACGTAGTTCGGCGGCGCGCCCTGCCTCTCGGGCACCGGAAGGTCCCGACCCGCGCGGATTCCTCAGGCGAATACCCTTTGGCCTCAAGGCGGAGGCGCCCTGTCCACTGACCAAGACGCAGCCGCTCAAATTAGTTAGGCGTGGAATAGCAGCCTTGGGAAGCCGTCTGCTGGGCCAGGAAATCGGGAATCTGGGGTTCTTGCAGGGATTCGTGGAAGGAAACAGTCTTGGGGGGAGAAGAGCTTGGGTGCTTAGGCGTTATGTGTTGAGCCTCTGCATGAGCAAAGACTTAAGTGTTCTGTAGTTACAGCTCTGAAGCTAGGAGCAGCTCTTTCAAGCAGAGACTATGGGGGAAGAATTTGATACAACCGAAGAATTTAGAGGGGCCGGAAGGTCGATACTTCTGTCTGGTGTAGAGCTATTCCCTTCAAATCCCTTTAGTAAAATACTTGTCTTGAGTTTGCTTTATCAGCTCCACCACTGATTAGCTACAGGACTCTGGATAGGCTTCCTAATCTGGTGGGGAGCCCGGGGGTATGGTTAGGTGGCCGGATAGGTGCCAGGAGGGTTTCTTGGGAGAGCCAGGGTCCAGGCCAGGCGACCCCCATTCTGTTCCATAAGAGCAAAGACAGGTATGTGAGTGAACCCAGAAAAAGTTATTCTTCATATACCCTATGAATTATGGAGAGAAAACCGTATTTTGTAGGGTAACCAGTGAGATTTTTCTTCTTAACCGGAGATGTGACTGAAACATGGAGAAATTGTAAGCCCTGAGAATCAGCACACGGAGCAAGAGCTTTTTTTTTTTTTTTTTTTTTTAATGGGGCGTCTATGAAGAGCCCACTCACACATAGGCAGTGAAGTCCTTAGTCCCGTTGTGTGATACTTTGAGGGGACAAGATTGCTTTTGAGCATCTATGAGATAAAGGATTTCTAAAAATGCCCTAAGCCTCCTTCAAATGCACTTTTACAGCATCCTGGCCTCCCCAGGAGGGAATTTGGACAGGGAAGAATGGCCAACTTTCTGAGGACTCAGGCTGCTGGGGCTCTTTCTTCCTTGGAATCACCTTTGCTTTCCTTCTTCCTGGAGGTCTCTTGCTCGTTGTACCTCTCTTCAGCCTCCCTGCTCTAGTTTCTACTTGGAGACTGGTCTCCTCTTGCTATGGTCTTGTCCTCTGCGGTAAAGCCACCTACCTGTTAAGCAAAACAGAACAAAAAATTAATTTCACAAAGTTTACAAAATGTAAGTAATGTTAGTCATTACCAATCAACAATAGTATATGGGGCGCCTGGGTGGCTTAGTCGGTTAAGCGTCCGACTTTCGCTTAGGTCATGATCTAGCGGTTCGTGGGTTCGATCCCTGTGTTGGGCTCTGTGCTGCCAGCTCAGAGCCTGGAGCCTGTTTCAGAGTCTGTGACTCCCTCTCTCTCTCTGACCCTCCCCTGCTCATGCTGTCTCTCTCTCTCTCCCTCCTAGAAATAAATAAAACATAAAAAAAACCCCAATAGTACATCATTACTTAAGTTCATTGATTCTGGGCCCATTTTCGTGTATGTGTTGCTGATGTGAGCACATGCTGAGGCCATTTTAAGTGGGTACTGTGCTGGGTGTTGGGGACACAAAAGCGAAGATGCACTTCCTTCTAGGAAGGGAGCTGACAGTCTAGTTGAGAAACAAACATACCACCTTCCTTAAAACCTGGGCCAGTATTCGCCTCACTGAGAGGTACCTCAGTGTGCAAGGGCAACTTTCCTGATGACTCCTATTCCTGAAAAATCCCTCAGCACCACTGCAGAGCTCCCTGTGGTGTCTCCTTCTGTCATTCGTTCCAGAGTCAGGGAGAGAAAGGGGTATTGCAGCAGGGGACAGGACAAAATCCCTGCTTGGTCTCTCTCTTTCCTTGCAGAGCAGCCAGATACTTTTATTTTTTTTGAAGCCCAGGAAGCACACAGCAAAAGCCAGACCTTGTGTTTGAGTGGACAGTGTTCTATGAGTGTCTCTGCTTTCTTTTCTCCCAAGGCTGTGCCAGCAGGGTTGCGTGCATCACCTCCCAAGCCCCAGGCCCAGGAGTCATTTCTTCTGCTGATAAACAGCACCAGGTGCCTAGAAGTGGGCATATTGGTTCTGTTGAGGTCAGGATCAGCTGTGGACATTAGGATGAGTTTCAGATCCCACCAGGAAAGTAGATGACAAGGCTTTGGTGGGAAAAGGTGGCTGTAAAGGAGGACTTGCAGTTACTTTTTTCACACAAATCTGCATACATTCTCTTAAGGAGTCTCAGGAAAGTGGGCATATTGAATGGAAATGGGAGAGAAAGCAGTTAGACCTGGAGTTGATGAGACCTAATGCTCCCTAGACAGACACTGAGCATCTTCACCTACGTCCTAAATGGGGCCCAGTTTTCAACCACCACCAGCAACTTAAGACCCACACTCAACAGGAGGTGTGGGGAGCAAGGTGATGGTGTCAGCAATGTGGATTTGAACAATTATGGAAGAACTCTTCCCCGACTTTGCATGCATTTCAAAACATTAGGTAAGGACAGATAATTCAGTAAATGGTGTTATGACAAAAGGCTAAACATTTGGGAAAGAAATAAAGTGAAATGTTTATCTTACTATAGCCAGGATAGCTTCCAGATGGATTAAATACAAAATGTAAAACTCAGATCCACAAAGGACCAGAAGAATATGTGGATTAATATTTTTATAATCTTGGCATAGGAAAGGCTTTCCTAACCATGGTAACAAAGGTAGAAACAATAAAGAATTAGATTGCTGGATTTGACTGTATTAAAATCCAACACTTCTGTGTGTCAACAACATTTATGAAGTTAACATATGACAAGCTGGGAAAATAATAGTAACTGTCATATTTAAAGATAACATACAAAAAGAAAACATTTCATTAGAAATCTGGCAAAGGAAAGGGGCGCCTGTGTGGCTCAGTTGGTTAAACATCTGACTTCAGCTCAGGTCATGATCTCATCATTCATGAGTTCAAGCTCTGCTTCAGGCTCTGTGCTGAGGGCTCAGAGCCTGGAGCCTTCTTTGGATTTTGTGTCTTCCTCTCTCTCTCTGCCACTCCCCTGCTCGTGCTCTATCTCTCTCTCTCTCAAAAATAAATAAACATTAAAAAAAAAAAAAGAAATCTGGCAAAGGACAGCACCTCACAAAAGAAAAAAAATAGAACAAAATAAAAACACTCAGATTTGCTATTAATCTTTTTGAAATGCCAGGTGAAACAGGAAATTTTCTTCCCTAACTACTGAATGGCAAAAATTGTGGAGGGACTAGGGCAATGGACATTTTCATCCATGTGTAGATTGAGACAGTTTTTCTGATTAGATATTTAGTGATATGTATCAAAAAGTCCTAAAAATGTACACACTATGTCTAGGATATTTTTCCCAGGGGGGTAAAAATCAGATAATTGTAACCTAAAGGTGGAATGACAGCTGCAGCATCCTAGTTTATAAAGTGAATTATTGACTTGCAAGGGACTTGTGGTTTGTTTGAAGGGAGGGGATGCCCCAGAAGTTTCTATGAGATGGCATGATGCTCAAGTCCTTCCTTTGCTGCCATAGTTCTGAGCAGTCTTTGAGTCTAGAGTGGTAGAATCTGCCTTCCTGCAAGAGTTTATCAGAACAATTTTCATGATGACTCGTCTGTGTTATTCTAGTCCCTGTCAAAAATGCAAGCCCCTTTAGTCATTTGTCAACAGCTGTGTTTTATGTCTTCCATCCCACTATTCTGTATACTCACTGAACTAAGCAGCCTTCCCATCCCTCCAAAACCATCCCACTATGTCCATCATGGAGGCTGGGGCTTTACAGAATGCTGGCTGTCTCTCAGGCCCCTATTGAGCAGTGGCCAAGCTTGAGGAGCTGACCCTATCAGAAAGAAAGGGATCTGTGCTTCAGTGCAATTCTCAGGTCAAGTTGTTGAATTCTCAGCTGGAGCCATCCGAGTGTCTCTTGACTTGCTAGCTATTTCTCAGGGCTGGAAGTCATCCTGGCCTCTCCTTGGACAAGCCATTCCTGTCCTCTGCAGCTGCTCTGTCACTTCAAGCAAATATGTCTTGTGTTTGAGCTCACTATTCTTACCTGATACTAATAATTTGGCATTAATGATGCCTAGTGTGTGCACCTTCGCTTTTGTAACTTTGTAAGTCCCACAGCTATTCAAGTGTAAATCATTCGTCCTTGTGGAAGCTCTTTGTACAGTCAGACAGATTTTTAGTCTTGCCATTTATTTCTGCCACGTAACTAGTTATGCCTCTCTCCATTCAGTTTCTTGATGGAGTTGCTTATCTAGCAGAAGATGGGAGGGACTGTTTGGGGGTGGAGATTGATGTCTCATACTCAGTATATATTTGTGTCTATTTCCAGTGCCAGGGGCCAGGCCATTTTTTCCTGTTGAGGCTCTAATGCCCAGAGATGATTATTCTGTTTGGTATCACTTAGTGGGGATGCCTTTAGGATCCCTTTAGGATATATTTATGGTGCCAAGTGGCTCAGAAAGAGGAAGTGCCCTTTGTTGTGTGGGTGAGTATAGTCCTCTCATGATGACCCTTTTGAGGACTGTCAAGGGGGAGCATGAAGTACTGTGTTTCTGTCAGCCCATTTTGTAGGAAGGCCTCCCAAGCAGTCAGATGGTGAAGGCATGCATGGGACTGCAGGGAGAGATAGAAGTTGTTCTGCTCAGATAATCTGTTGGGTATCACTGCCACACCCAAGTCCTAGCTGCAGCCTTTGGGGCTGGGGTTCTTCACTAGGGGCCGCATGTGGGTCTGTGAACTTGCAAAATGGCATAAGTGAACTTTTAGGGCAGATAGTACTTACTTTTCATCAAAGACTTGGTTGACCTCTGAAAAGATTAAAATGATTATTTTAGAGAATCCTTGAATAAACAG